CAGCGCCCTGCCCTGCCCTGCCCTGCCCTGCCCTGCCCTGCCTCCCGGCTCTGCCCCGCGCCGTGCCCGGCCACGGCACCCCCGCCCCGTGTGCTGCCCCGGCACGTCCCTGCTCAGGACGGTGGCAGGGACACACACACTGCACCTGGGAGTGGCAGAGATGCACACGCAAGTGTGCGCGCGGACACACACACACACAAACACTGCACCAGAGAGTGGTAAGGACACACACACACACACTGCACCAAAGGATGACAAAGACACCCCCCGCTTCCTTGGAGCCTGCCGGGGAGAAGAGGGCCCCAGCCCAGCCCCGCCCGTCCCCAGGCCCTTGCAGCGCGTGTGGTGTTGCCGGATCCTGGCCCTCAGGCCCAGGCAGGAGCGCGGTTCTGCCCTGGGGGCAGGAGGAGCTGGGGGAGGTCTGTGGTAGGCACCCCGCTTCACCCCACAGCTTAGGGACCGTGGCACAGAGGCAGGGCAGAGGAAAAGGCTGCCCAGGGAAGCTAGAGAGGCAAGGATGTCCTGGGGTGAACGCTTTTATCGGACCAGCTGTAGCACTTGGGAGAGAATGAGGCAAGTTTTCAAAGGTGAGGCATTTTTCTTCAGGTCCCAGAGGTAAGCCAGCATTTTACTCCTCAGACCTGCATAAGAAGGTCCTGCGTTTTGAAAGGTTGTCTAACTGCATCCCGACTATACAGCTGGTCCCATAAAAGTATCACCCCGAGGGATCTGGGCCTCTCGCATAATTCCTGGACCATCAGGGCTACAGCACTACCCTAACACTACCTTTACTACTAGAAGAAATGGGGAGGGGGATACACAGCACGCAGCCCTATGACACAGCCAACCCCTCAAACCCAGGAGAAATGTACCACTGAAAAATCATGTGCGCCAACTTCAGTGCCCAGCAGAGTCGTTGCCCAGAGGGATCTTGTAAGGTCCGCCCTCCCTGTCCCTTTTCATGCTCCTAGTTCCTTTGCTCAATTAAACCTGGCTCCATCGCCATCTTGTGGCCAGGCGCTGTCATAGCGTCTGTCCGAGCAGCCGGCTGGAGACAGCTTAGTTTTGTGTCCGCTATAGAGTACATTTTCTGCACACGAAAGCCCAGGATAAATTATTCTGTAGTAATGTGTGTCCCCAGCCTGAGCAGGCTGGTGTTGGGCAGTTGAGAAAAGTCTGCTGCTTGGCAAGTACTAGGGGGATTCGCTGCTAGAGAGCAGGGGGGAAGGGTCACAGAGCAGGAGCACTAATGGTAACATGAGCACCTGAAGGCCAACTAGGGTCAAGGCAGTGATGGACACACAAAGACACACACAGACACCCCATCTAAAGAGATCGCAGCCTCTCTAGCCAAGGCAGATGGGTGGGGAGGGGGAAGAGAACAGGGGAGATATAGTATAAGCAAAAGAGATGCCAAGATGGCTCCATATGACATTTCTGCCACAATTTCTGGAGGAGATTGTTTTTAAAAGTTATAGCCCTGTCTTTGGAGGGCTAGCTAAGGCAAGGAAGGCAGGGGAATGTGGGATGGTAGGAAGAGCTGGAGTTAACAGCCTGATGGGGATGGGTGGATTGGAAGCAAGAGCTAGTTAGCAGAAAAGAGGGAAATGTCTATGAACGTTGACATCACTGGGTTCCCAGAAGTCCCTGCTCTGGTCACTGCTGCTGATCTCAGCTGCCAAATCCCCCCCTCCCCCTCATAAAAAAAAAAAAAAAGAAAGAGAAAAAATCAACTCTCTGCAGGCCAAAAGCATGACTGTCAGGGTGGCTTACAGAAATATACCCTAATGACTTCCAAAAGTAGCCCAATCTATTTGGACAGGAGCAAGAACAGTTGGGGTTGGGGTGACAGTGGCGGGAGGAGGGCTATAAACCTACAACAGAGGCTTCTTTGGGCATTTTAAACTTTAGTAACCCATGCGTATACAAGTACTACAGCTCACTGATTACAGCAAGGACAAAAGTAGAGGTATAATAGGTGGCTACTCTATTATTTCCTGTCAGTAGAGGCCTATCTTGGTCTGCTATCTGGTCCCATGTAAACCAGTACAGCCTGTTCCATGGTCAGGTTGTCGGTGAATAAATTGGTACCTCCACCTAGATTAGCCTAGGTGAGGAGGGGGTGTGTACACCCAGCAGGACTAAGAGTGTATGAGCTCCCTGTCACTTGAGCCAATGGCCATCCATACCTGGAGAGGAGGTCACTTTGCATGAAGAATCACCAATGATGCACAACATCTAAGGTTCCCCAATAGTCACAGCAACCTTGGGACTGACTTGACTAGACTATTATTAATTAAAAACACATGCATTGGTGGTATAGTGGTGAGCATAGCTGCCTTCCAAGCAGTTGACCCGGGTTCGATTCCCGGCCAATGCAGAATGATATACTTTTTTCCTCTAGAGAAAATGTATTCTAAGACAGTCAGGTGGATGAGAAACTGGCTGCAGGATAGAACCCAGAGAGTCGCAGCAAACAGATCTGTGTCATCCTGGTGAGAAGTGTGCAGCGGTGTCCCACAGGGGTCGGTATTCAGTCCAGTACTTTTCAACATCATTATTAACGATTTGGACGTGGGGGTGAAGAGCTCACTGGCCAAGTTCACAGATGACACCAAGTTATGAGGAAGCGTGGTCATGCTTAAAGATAGGCTACAGTTACAGGTGGACCTAGACAGGCTGGCATGTTGGGCAGATCAGAACCTGATGAAGTTCAACATCGAGAAACGTAAAGTGCTCCACCTTGGGACAAGCAACCCCCAACACACCTACAGACTTGGCAGCACCAAACTGACTAGCGCCATGAATGAAAGGGACCTGGGGTAATAACAGACCACAGTATGAATATGAGCCAGCAGTGCAATGCTGTAGCCAGTGGGGCAAATAATCATCTGGCATGCATCCATCGATGCATCTCCAGCAAAACCAAGGAGGTGATTCTTCTGCTCTACTCGGCAATGGTTGAGACCGCAGCTGGAGTACTGCGTCCTGTTCTGGGCACCGCACTTTAACAAAGACGTGAACAAGCTTGAGAGAGTTCAAAGAAGAGCCACCCGTATGTTCAGAGTCTTACATGGCAAGACATACAAGGAAAGGCTGAGGGAGCTGGGACTCTTCAGCCTGAAGAAAAGAAGGCTGAGAAAGGACCTGGTAGCAGCTTATTGCTACACTAGGGGAGTACATCAAGGGCTCAGCAAACAACTGTTCACCAGGGCACCCAAAGGGAAAACTAGGAGTAATGGCCACAAACTCCTGGAAGATCAATTCAGGCTCAACATTAGGAAAAACTTCTTCACGGTCAGGGTGTCCAGACCGTGGAATAAGCTCCCACCAGAGGTGGTGCAATCACCTACCCTGGAAATCTTCAAGAGCAGTCACCTTGCTGGGGTCACCTGACCCCAGTTATCTTTCCTGCTTGGTACAGGGGGCTGGACCCAATGATCTTCTGATTGCCTTCCAGCCTTGCAATCTATGAATCTATGAAAGCATGAACTATTAGAAACCCTGCATGTTTATTCCAGCCAGTACTCTGGTCACCTTTGATGTCTTTATGTCCCTGTACCTCAGCTGGTCTTGCTGCAGTGCAAGTTCACATTGAAATGGTAAAGCATTATTTGGGTTGGAACAAAGTCTTTGCAGCAAATATCCAGACTCCAGAGTAGACCTGCACCATTCTGGGTAAAAATTGTTTTGATGAAGTTAGTGAAGTCCAGGCAACAGAACAGGGTAGGGAAATTAGTCCCTCCTCATCTGCACAGAGGTCTGGCCAGTAAGAACACTACAAATAAAGCCAGATCTCTAGTGCACTATGCCCCACTGCTAGCACCTGTGAAGGCACAGACTTCCACCCTGATCTCTTCTATGTGTGTCATCCAAGGTCTTCCACAGTTGGAAACTGATGGCTTGATATGAAGAATTCAAAACCCTAAAGTTACCTGTCAATATTCTTATCCTGGAGACAGATAAGAGAGAAGAGTTGGACTCTGACAGAACAGCTGAGCGATTAGATATTAAAATGGATTTCCACAGATTAATATTTCCCAGAAGCCTTAGTTGTATGCTTGGCCACTCCTAGAAGAAAGTCTTGGCATCTACTTTTCAGTGTATTATCAAAAGGTTTGCCTCTGCCAAAATAGCATTAGAAGATTGTTCCATATTTGACAGCAGGCTGTAGCAGGTGCTTATGGAGGGCACTCAAACAGAGGCCACTATCAGAGAAAAGGACACATTAGAAATGATAAATGAGTGGAAGAAAGACTGAAAACTGTCCAACATCTTAAAAAGCATTTGTCATCTCACAAATTTCAAATGGGTTTTCATGCAACAAGGACACTCTCATCCAGAGAGATAGATTGTACTTTTGAAAGAACCACCTGGATACCACACAGAATTGCTGCAGAACAAAAAGAAAATCACCACGAATTGCACACCATTAGTTATGACATACAACCTTCCCTGGAACCTATACACAAAATCCTCGAACAATGGCAACCCATACTAGAAGATCCAGTTCTCAAA